CAGCCAGCTGGGGAATTCTGGGAGTTGAAGTCCACACATCTTAAAGTTGCCAAGGTTGAGAAACACTGCTTTAGAGAAAGAGGTAAATTTATAATTGTACTTATAACTGCTGTAAAGATCAGAAGCTACTTCTTTGTATCTTTTTTCTTTCTTTTCTATTTTTGTTCTACTTTTTCTTTCTTTCTTGCACTTTAGCCCTTTTTTTGATTTCTTTTTCTTTTTTCCTTCCTTACTCTATATAACTTTGTATTAGTTTTTTACCTTTGTTTTCAGTTTTTTAATACAAATATAAATTCATGGAAAGGGTAGGGGGAACCCGCTTCTGAGGAATAGTTTTTTATTTAAAACCTTTCTGCAGTGGTATTATTGCAGGGTTATGCAGGCAACAATTACACCTGGAGATGAGGCCTCTGCCTCTAGGCTGTTCTTCTTCCAGCCCTAACTTTTACTAGTAACACACCTGCCATGGGTCTAATATTCCCGATCTCTATTCAAATTTCCCATTTGCTTCTTTGAGAGCCGTTTTAGCAAAGCCTTCAGAGCTGCAGAAATCCAGATATCCACGAGGTGGCAGCAAAAGCATACAGAGAACTCGAGGGGTCCTATGGTCATACGATCTTTTTCAGCCCAGGTCTGGTAGCCCAGTTCTCAACTGACAAGGTCTAGGTGGGTTCTGTAGTGCTGAACTCCCACCAGCATGGTCATTGCTAAGAATGTTAGGAACTGACATTCACATGTTACCAAGTTAGGAAAGACTGACATATAGAAAGAAAAAGGTTCTCCAGATGTTCTTAGCAAATCCAAGTACAACTGCTAAAGTGGGCTGGAAAACCTGACCCAGGGTTCAAATCTGCTACTGCTTCTGCTTAAAAACGAAAAGAAATACCTGGCGATGCAAATTGGGCTCTATGATGGCACAGCTGATGGTTTGACTGCTGCTACATTTGTGTCCTCCAGTGCTTCCACCTGGAGAAAACAACCAACTGCTAGAACCTATTTCCTCTATTTTATAGTTGGATTATATGGCCACGCAGCACAGAGTGACCCTTGGGAAACCACTTGGAAATGTTGGGTCTGCCAACTTCCTGCCTGTGGCCTGAAAGCTGTATGTAGCTGCCTGCAAGCCTGAGATTATTATTTTTTTTTTTTTGCATTCCATCCTCAAGCTTCAGGCAGAGCCTCAAGGTTTGCATCTGGCAATTGATCCTGCTAAGCTTCAGTTGCTCTAGGCAAAGATCCCAAGTATCTGCTTGACTTGCTAGCCAAACCTCTGTTTATTTCTCTGCCATTTCCTGTAGCTGTCTATTGGCTAACAAACACAGAGGGACTGAGGGAGAGGCATAGCCTTGCTCTTGCCCCACTTACAAGAAAGCTTAGCCCAGCAAAGAACCACAGGAGAAACACCTGTTGTCCCTGTCTTGCGATCTAAACCATAGTGCAGACAAGGCCTGCAAGAGAGTGGTAGGAATCCTTGGCTCCAGAGGTCCCCTCAAACCTGGAGTGGACACTGCCCCTGAAGGATACGATCAGGTTATGTACAATCACAAAGATAGACACGTTTGCATCTGAGAAATACTAATGGCAACAAGTAAGGGGCTTCTTTGGAAACAGAACTTAGTTTACAAGCCCAGATATATGGGCTTGAGAACCTAATTCACAAGCCTTACAGTGAAAACCAATTTAAATTGTCCTATCAGCTTTTGAAGATTTTTCTTCTTCTGACCCTGAGGAAAAGATGTCAGGGTTTGATTCCCCAAAAGAAGCCTGAACAATGACTACTAATTTCAAGTGGGCAATTGTCATTTATGGATAAGTGAACAGTTAGAAGGCTGTGAAATTGGGGCTGGGAGACTGTATGTGGCCTCTTAAATATTCTGAAATACAGTTTGTATTTAAGGTACTTAATAAGAACTTAAATTCACCAATAATAGCTAATCTTCAAAGGCATCCATGCTTTTCAGCAACCAAGTCTGCATTCATATCAACTTTTGCTCATTCCTTTAGTTTCAACAGCTTGTCCTATTTTTATTAGCAAATGCCACATGACCCCTTACCCTCTTCCCACAATTCACAGGAACATAGTTTTTGGGGGGAGAGGGAGATTTACCATGTCATGAAGTAGAAACAGTTATACTTTGAGGTTGTTATTTTACATTGGTCTAAACTGAAGAGCCAGATGTTGGAAGATGGTGATTCAATGGCATCTTATATCATCAAAGCTATCCAAGATATGTAAATATAATAGATGATGTTTTTTGTTGAACAAATCCCTTCTGGAAAATAGTGAAAGAAACAGTTGAAGAAGTGATGACTACTGGTTAATTTTGGATGCTTGTATTTTGATTCTCTGTGATTCTTTTTGGCTCTCTCATTTCCCTTGGATGGATACAACACTGCCAGTGAAGCTACATATGACTAAGTCTCCATTATGTTGTGGGTCTTCCACAAAGTTTATCTATTTACCCTGCATAAAAGAGTAAGGGGCTTGTTTCACGGGCCTCTGACAGAAGCCTCAATGATGTCATAATTGTCATGACATCATCTGCAAATTTTGCAAGTCACATCATTGGCATGTGGCACAAATTACATAATTTATGCTCTTGGACTGATGACATCATGATACATGTGACATTACTTGCTTTCCACCTCCTCCCTTCCCCACAAATGTCCATGGCTTCTTCACCATTTTTCCTGGCAACATTTTTCTAATAAAAATCATACTCCAGCTGATTTTCTACTATGGGGAGGAAATATTATCTTGTGCCCCTGCAGGTTAAAAAAAAAAAATCAGCATGTGAATTAAAACAATATGTGAGATTTGAGAATATCCACTTGATTGCTGGTTTTTGAAAAACAAAATAAACCACAACTTCAAGTAGTTGAACCTTGTTGTAGTTTTGCTCCACTTTTTCCCAAATGGTGAGAAGAAGTGTGTCAATTAGGACTTGGAAAATTGAGAGGTTTACTTATCCTGGTTAAGGTCATGCAGACTGTCAAAGGCCATTAATCTGAAGTTTGAGTGTTCCCTAATTGTTTGTGCTGTTTGGACAACAGATTCACTCATTGCTGATCTGAAAGAATATTGTTATCTACCTATACCTGTAGGTCACGAACATGCTTATTTTTTTATAAAAGGAATGGATATAATTTATTTATTAAATGTATACTTTTCTGCAGATGAGCACTCAGAGTAAAACAAAATACAAAAAGTTAAAAACATTAATACTAAAATCAGTTAACAGCCCAAAACCTGAAGAAAAGATGTACTGAAGTTTTCTAAACATCCAGAGAATGGGAGAACTCCCCAGCTCAACTTTCCAGGAAATTCACGGTACATCTTAGGGGCATCTGCAATTGGGGGGTAGATTCAAAGAATTTTTGACATTTCCCCACAGACACCTGCGCTCTCTCTCACATCCCAAAGGATAGGTCATGACGATGGGGCCATCTTACTAACCTTAAAGATTTATAAAAGGAGAGGAGGTTGTTCAGACATTCAAACCCTAAGCCATTTAGGATATTAAAGGTTGGCAAGCAGTACACGTTTTGTGGTACAAGCATCATGTGATCCCTGTCCCTTGTACCAATTAGCAGGCTTTGGGGGGGGGTTGGTATTTTTGAGTCATTCTTGACTCCTGGCAACTGCCTGGACTAGCCCCTGCAGTTTTCTTGGCAACATTGCCTTTGCCTTTTTTCTAGCAGTGAAAGAGTGTGACTGACACAAAGCCCCACAGTTGGCTTTCATGCCTAAGGTAGTACTAGAACTCATGGTCTCCCTGTTTCTACCCTGGAACCTTAAACCACTACACCAAACTGGATCTCAATGAGCAACTGCATTTTTCACCAGGTGTAACTTCTTACATAGCCCTACGTAAGTGCCTGTGTGGTGGAGAGGTGAGAGTGTTGGACAGGAGAGGAGAGATCTGGGTTTGAATCCATCTTCAACCATGAAAGCTTACTGGGTGACTTTGGGCCGGTCGCTCTCTTGCAGCCCCAACTACCCCATAGGGTGAAAATGTGAGAAGAAAGAGCTATGCAGGTCACCTTTAGTTCCTGTACAAAAGGTGGGGAATAAAGCAAAGAGACAAACAAATAAGATAGGAGGATGGCTGGCTACAGAATTTTTTATGGAAAAAATGATGTTTTTTTGGAATCTATTTTTTTAACTGTAGACAGCCCTCCTTTTATTTTGACTACACCCACTTTGCACTTGTTTCCCTAACACCATCCTCAAGACTGTATGTATCCGTCAACCCACCTGCACTCTGGATCCACAATCTGCTGCTTCATGCAATGGAAGCCCACCTGACCTCCTTATTTCAAAAGAAGAACACTTCTCTTTTGTGGGAAAGGAGCATTTGAGGGTAAAATTTCCAATAAACAGGATCTCAAGCAGTAAGGCAAATGTTTTGAAACAGCCACCCCCAAACTGCAGCTAGCCTGATGTGTTAGGATTGCAAATCCCAGAATTCCCAGCACACAAATTGCACAGCTCCATATTTAGGGAAGATTGCTTTGAAAAGCTTCTGTTGTCAGAGAAACCAACGTTGGTTAGATTGACTAAGTTCCAGCAGCACAGAAGGTGGAATGAGATGGTCCGGGGATGATTTTAATTCAGAAGTCTATCTTGTCTACATTAAATTTAAGAACATTTTATCACAAAGATATATGAAGGCTTGCCCTTTATTTCAGAATTTCATTACTTAATAGGACCACGGCATAACTGGTCAATGGCAAACATATTAGAGAGATATAGATGGTATGTGTCTTTGAGGCATAAATACAGGGAGACAAACGATATGTTTGTAGGATCTCAAAAATATCTAAGGCAACATTATTACCTTGGGATCCACATTAATGACCTTCCTGTCAGACTTGTTCTTGAAGAGTAAGCCACATGCATTTTCTGCAATCACCTGGTAGTTTGGACTTGAATTCATGGAGCAGATGTTTCTGTCCCAGTTGTAGAAACTGTGGAAACAAAGCAGAAGCCATGGAGACCATCCCTTCAATGTAACAAAAGCTCAAAGCAAACTGCCCTCATTGTCTGCAATTGGTTGTTGAGGGCATTTCTTCCTGAGACAGTTTTCCGACTAGAAGCAAGGATGACAGCTGCTGAGCATCTAAACAGCAGATGACTCCTGCTCCTCTTTTGACTGGAAAGTGGGTGAGGGAATAACGAGGCTTTCAAGGTTTCCTACTGTTTGACCTAGATTACCATCAAGGAAGTCAAGAGAGGAGGACATTAATCAGGAAAGCTTTTACTTTCCTTTGATGGAAGTCTTACTTCACTGTTAAGAGTTTCAGCAGTAACATTCTTCCCAAGATAAAGAATGACTTTCAGCTAGCTGAAGATCTCTGGCTAATCGTCCATGTGCTCTGCTTGTTGAATCAGGGAAGTACAATAGAAGAAACTGAGCTCTCAGATAACTCTGCCTGGGGCTGCAGCCAATGAGGATCCCAATACATGGTATATTCGGTGGTTGTCTGCTACTTTTAAAGTGAGTTTTTGTGTGCTCTGCATCTGTACTACCATTACAAATCCTCATGTTTCAAGAGAAGTACCACTGTGAGCCTGATAAATTTGTAGCAGTTTTCCTCAACCTTGGCAACTTTAAGATGGGTGGACTTCACCTCCCAGAATTCCCCAGCCAGCCA